GAGTGAGAGAGAGAGAGAGAGAGAGCGAGCGAGAGAGAGAGAGCGAGCGAGAGAGAGAGAGCGAGCGAGAGAGAGAGAGGTTGAAGAGAATGTTGATAGAGAGCAATATTCTGGTTGCTGGGAATTTGTGCGGTGATGGCATCGCAGTGACACCAACCGGCGAGATGAAGAAGCGCGCTGCGGCCGTTGTAATATCTCACAAGCAATATATAGCTGCTGCGCAATCACCGAAAATATCACTGATAACCGCGAGAACTGCTTTCTACGTACATAACAGCTAATGCTTCCTAACCTTCTAAAGCTAATGCTTGTAAACTGAAGTGCATAACACGCCTCGTGTCCGCATCGAGCCAGCACGGCGCTGTGAGTTCTTAAATAATTCAAATACGGCTGGTCGAGGAAGACGACGGCACCCGAGGTGAACTTTGCGTGCATGCCATTATTCTTATCGTAAACTGAATTATGCATAGATTTGCGCTAACTAATATAATCACAACGCGTGGCGCCAGAGAGGTGCAAATCTGCATAGATGAAATAGCGGAAGGTTAAACGTCTTTCTTCGTACGCATTTTCGTATAGCCCTCGGTCATTTCACTATAAAGGGTTCGATAATTCAGGCAATATATTTTGAATTGAAATCGAATAAAAGTTTGGTAGGTACAACTATTAGCAACTATTGTACAACTATTGCATTGGTCTTCAAAAACGAAAAACGGCTTTTGGTAGGAATTGGTAGGAATTTTTCTGCAAAGGTCACTATTTGTGAAAAGGCAATCACGTAATAAACATTAACCGTTCTTGTCGTTTTAACATCAAAATAACGTTATCACTCAACGATAACCGACGATACACACGCACGAACGCGCACGCACACACATATATATATATATACATATGTATATATATATATATATATATATGATATGATGCGATATATTGCTGCGATAGTTTTAATTGGTAAAGTACAAATTCAAATTCATAAACGAGCCATGCATTTACAGAATAGAGCATGTACTTTACACATGAGAACGAAATAGCTGATTGTTATAGAAGTGCACGGCATAGTGATAATATACTGTATTAATTTAGTAGCTCAACAGGAATACTATATATATATATATGTATATATATAATAAAAGGAATAGAGAATAAAAGAGAAGCGAAAAAAAATGCAAAAGCAAAATGATAAATTATTTTCAATTCAGTTGTGTCTTGACTGTCGGAATGATGAAGGCAACCAGAATCACTAGCTTACGTTGCCCGTTCATTTCACACTGTGGATTGTTTCTAGCACTCATCCCCACGTTAGTCTTAACAGCAAATATTATGAAGATAACATCAGGTATTACACAGCAGAATAAATTGAACTATCGCGTGTGTCTCTGAGGCCATTCGCCATGTCATATTCTAAGCAGTGTATTCGGTACACGTTTAAACCACCTGCATGCAGGACGCATGCAGCGTTTAAACTACGACGGTTCCATGAGTGACATCAGTATACGACATAAGAATCCCGTGGTTCCACTAGCAGCGCATGATGGATATAACTATAATATCTCATCAAATATCGAAGAAAAGGACGTTGACAAATTTTTACAACTTGTGCGATCAGCGACCGCACACGTGCTAGCGCGCAGGTAACGTTACAATAAGAAAATGTTGTCGTAACAAATATTATCATGAGAAAATGCCCCAGTAACATATATGCACGGAAAGGGCATTTGTTAATATACACTTGCACGAATAGTGAGTCTGATAGTGTACTGACGCGCCACCTATGACATCATACACTAAATCGAAATGGATTTATTTTGTTATACATAGTAAAATCCGAGCTAGTAGAACACCGCATAACATACACCGCTTTGTCACACATCGAAAACAATTTAAACACGCTTGAAATAAAATACTATGCAATTGGTGTTTTGCAGTCCGCGGATATGAGATAATCGAGGTATCTATTCGCCGTATTATTGAAGGCGCTCCGCGAGAGGTCATCTGTGTCATGTCTCATCGTATACTCTCTCTATCTCTCTCGCTCTCATGCTCTCTCTCTCTCACGCTTTCTCTCTCGCTCCCGCTCTCTCGATCTCGCTCTCTCTTCATCTCTCTCTTTCACTCTTGCTCTCTCTCTTTCTCTCTCTCTCTCTCTTAGGCCTACATGTTTATATCGAATTTCTGCTTTCCCGTTTCGCTTAATAAATAAAACACGCTTTTGCTCCCAAAGCTTTCTTCTGTCTACGTTATAATTCAGTTCACCGGCGAAAATCATTGCGTGTAAGGCCAAGACAACTTTCCGCCGCCGCCGCCGCCGCCACCACCACCACTGATGCCTCCACCGCCTCCACCGGTTATGCTCTCCAGGTGTTCTTTAGCTCGCATTCGCAGAGATACGATGCTGCTGCTGCGCGGATCGGTGGCGCTCTCTGTCGTCATCGTCTGCAAGCTTTGCGTGTTGCTTAGCGACGTGCTAAACGTCGTGTTCAAGTAGCCGGGAAAGGTAGTCGGAAAGCGGGAGATGTAGCCGGGCAGGGCGCCGATCGGCGGGGTCAACCAGGGGTCGAGCGGCAGAAGGTTGCCGACGCTGCGGGACTTTGTCACCGTCGACGCGAGGCCGGACAGCTCCTGCAGCCGAGCCTCGTTCTCGGCCTCGATCTTCTCCTGCCGTCGCCACTTGGCTCGTCTGTTCTGGAACCACACCTGCGAACATGCGAAGGGAGCGAGAATGTCAATATTTGTTAGCTCGTTAATGGCGCGCACGCACATACACGCACGCACACACGCACGCACGCGCACGCACGAACGCACGCCCACGTTACCACACGTACAAATATACAGGCCCGTAATACAAACGCACGCACGCTCTCGCACACGCACTCACACACGCGCGCACTCTTTCTCTCGCTCTCTCTCACACACACACACGCGCGCACACACACACACACACACACACACACACACACACACACACACGCACACACACTCCAGGCGATGTCCGTTTGAGACAAAGAAAGGAGCGGTGTAATTTTGGCGTCGCGTGACAAGAGCGTACGGCAGCGACGGCACTAAGCCGCTCTAATATCTCTGCCTATATCAGCGCCGCCTCCGGTGCGGTGACTTATGGCAACATCACCAAATGAACAGCTGTACTCCGATGCTCGGTAACTAGGCGTCCACGACTTATCGTAAGCATCTTCTTCCTATTATTATCAGCAGATGCGATGCGCAATTAACGTGTCCATTCAATTCATGCGACTATAGTATTGTGTAACCGGTTATTTGAGAATAGCCAACCCAGAAGAGGCCAAAACAACGTTAGTTGAAAATGTTATCATAAATGCAATTATTTATTTATTCGTAAATGAATGTAACGTCGATAACGCAATAGGTGTATGCGTTGTGAAGTTTCAATCGTAAATTTGCTCTCACCCCCCCTCCCCTCATCTCGCCATCCGTCACGATATTCAAATAAACGCGCGGGAGGTGGATAGATGGTTGCTTCGGCGTGGTTGGTCACGTGAGCAATCACGTGACTCATTATTATCGCACGATACGTCAATCTCTCGTCGTCGTGTTCGTTGGACAATGCTTCAGTGATTGCATGATTACTTTAGCATGGATTTGCCACGAATAATTACAGTGCGAAATACGGTAAACGTGTGGGTAGCTTTCTGCTAATGAGATATTCATTGCAGAAGAAATATATCATGCTAAATGTGTTCCATCTCGAAGAACATGCGATATTATCCACGGGTGTGGAAGTTGCTAATTTCTCATGATTAAAATCAATAATGTTTAAAAGATGGCGTTTTGCTGGCTAACGGTGGCCGGCAAACTACTCGACCTACATGCCGAAAGTGTAGTTCCGCCCCGGCATTGTCCATCGGCTTCCACATGCGCAGCGCAAAACATTGTGCGCGCAATTTACGAGCGAATTAAGGGCCCTTGGAAATCGGCCATTGAATTCCAATTTCGAGACTCGTTAACTAAAGATCTATCGCGTTTATTTCCTATCGACAACTATCTATCGATTAACGTCCCTACGTGGCGCTAGACGTCGCGTGTTACCGCACATAGTCTCTCTTCTATATACGTTAAGTACGCGCGTGTGTTTACGGAAGGGTAGGAGTGCGGTGGAAGAGGGGCGAGTTAAATATTTCGTAAAGTTAATCGAGGAAACATGCCCTCTAGGACAGACCATGTCATCGATTAACGGCGTATAGCCTTCAATGGCTACAGCCAACCCCCTTTCTCCGCTCTACACACACGCACGCACGCACGCGCACCCACACACACGCGCGCACCCACACACGCGCGGACACAGGCATACACACGAACGAACACATGCACGTATACACACACGCACGTACGTACACACACGCACCCTTGCACGCACACCAAACACTCACACACGCCCACACACACTCGCAAACGCACACACACGCGCGCACACACACTCCCACACACACACACATGCACACACACACACACACACACACACACACACACACACACACACACTACAACACCACACACACACACACACACACACACACACACACACACACACACACACACACACACAACACACGCGCGCGCGCACGCACGCACGCACGCACAGACCAGCGCCAGAAGCTGCACCGGCAGCGCCTATATCCTCATGTTCGCAAAGTGCTACACGCAGTCCCCTGATATAGAAACATGAACGACCGACGTGAACGAGGGCTGTCAGCTGCGCATTAATAGCTACAGCTCACGGGACGGTAAATCAATGTAGAACCGGCGTTATTTACCGGTATTAATGGAATAATAGCATTATATGTCACGAAGTTGATGGCGATAATAACTTATTCCGCACTAATTGAATGCGCTCCCCATCCGATGATTCGATTTAGCGCTTACAAGTCAGCGTGGCTTGACATACAATGCTCCGATGTGGTCGGTGCGAGCTAAGTAAAATTGAAAAGTCAAGGGAATGCCAGTAATGGGCGCGCAAATTCGATTAAACACGTAAAACTAGATGGCTGCTCTATTAACCGGTCCATTTGCGGCTAAACGAATTTTCCCCGCCGATGCTTCTGTTTTGGATAACATGGTATCCGTGTTGGAAACGCCGCGGCGCACGCAAAGGGTTGTCCAGCCACATTAGAGTGTACAGTGTACGCATGCGTACGTGACTGTGTGTTTGCTGCGCGCGTGCGTGCGTTCGTGTGTATGTGTGTGTGTTTGTGTGTGGGTGTGCGCGCGCGTGTGTGCGTGTCTGCGTGTGTGATTTCGTGCGTGCGTGCATGGGATGTGTATGTGCGGAGATGTGTTGAAATGTAATAATGGGAACATGAGACAAGAGAACATTGTTTGGTTGCGCACACGTGCTGTAAATTTCCATCACGTATTCGTAGTTAGCGCAAACATGGATCGCCAATCGTGACACCCCAGACCCCGCCACTAAAGCAATGTAAATCGATGGCATGCGCATGTGTGGGCAATCGTTCGAGAGTCCGTTTGCATCTTTACTCGCATTTATCGAAAACCCGCTTTAGACATTCACGTCGTTGATCGCTGGGGGCAACAGCGTCCATGCAAAATTTATGCGCGCGTATATGACAAAAATCGTATTCGCGTACATAATACATGGTCGTTCCATATAGCGTCTAAGTTCGCAATCCGCCGCAGTTATCAAAACGCTTTTTTATAAACGTTATTAAACGGCATTTAATGTTATCGAACACCGGTAACAATCTATCTATCTATCTATCTATCTATCTATCTATCTATCTATCTATCTATCTATCTATCTATCTATCTATCTATCTATCTATCTATCTATCTATATATATATCTAGCTATCTATCTATCTCGCTTTCTCTCTATATATATATATCTTTCCCCTTCTCTCTATCTATCTCTGTTTTTCCTTTTCTCTTTCACGCCTTTTTCTCTTTCACGCCTTTGCTTTCTCTCTCGGTCTATTCCTCTCACACACGTTTTCCCTCTCGCGCACGTTTTTGCGCTCCTTCTCTCTATATATATCTTATCCTTTGCTCTGCACTTACAGACTAAATGTTTGACATGATTACTTTCGTTGAAGTACCCAACAGATGTCAACACGCGTCTGTAATGATCTCGTGCGCTACGCGTCTGCCATATATTCAGCAACAAATTGGTAATTGCGTATTAGAGTTATGCCCGCCAGGGTACGCCTAATGCGGTAAGAGGGGCGAAAAGTTAGTATAGATTGCCGTTAAATTGTGTTAGGCGGAGAAATCAGCCGAGCCGAAGAACAAATGTCAGCGTCTATCTCGACGCGCGCGCGATCGAAGATTATAAATTCGTTATGAAATTTCAGAGACTCCATTAGGGCACTAACGAGAACGGCAGATTCTATTACGTCGAACGTATTACGGCAAACGTAAGCATGTCAGCCTCGCTTAGCCTCAGCGGCGTGCAGCTGCATTAACCAAATCCCACTCGAGTCGACCGCTAAGTGTGTGCATCTGGAATTGGACAATTTGTCGTAATTTAATAACGTAAAGACAAAATTGCTTGATTAATTTGTTTTATTAGTCTTTACAGGCCTGAGTGGTCAATCGTCAATGGCGGCAGGCAGGCAGGCAGGCGGCTGGTCGGCTACCTGCGGGTGGCACGCCTCGTCGGTTGCATCAGCGGCGTCGCCGTGGAGCCAATTGCCTGTTACAATAGCCGCCGTCCCCCCCGCGAGCGCACCACCTCCCTCCCTCGCCCCCTCCCACTCTCCGTCTCCTAGCAGCGAGAGCGGGTGTATAAGCGGTAATCAAAAGCTTTACGCCTGGTTAGGCGCGCGTTCGCCGTGTCGCGAAATGTCGCGAATATTCTCTCGTTTTGTCGCTTCGGCGAGGCGGCATGAAAAATTCATAAGGTTAGGCTAATCGCGTGTTCATTATGCGGAGTCGAGCGGCGGCTAATTACCCGACATAATATAACGGGCGAGACGAGGCGAAGGGAAAAAATTCGAGCGCCAACAGAGCAGCCCCCACCCCGCTCCCCCGCGACACGACCACGCTGTTTGCACGGCCGCTAAAATGTGCCAACGTCGCTCGCATACATATGTTAATACATACGTCGGTAGGAGGGAGCGAACAGCGAAATGAAACGCAGCGAGAAAAAAAACGCCAGGCGATTTCTGTAACGCGAGTGAAATAGGAGTTTATTATATCATTAGCGAATAATTAGCCGATACATGGCCCGTCGGTACGAGTGACGTGGAGCGCGACGGAATCGCGCATGGGCGTACGTTGTTGTCGCCGACCGACACACCCGCATAATAGGAAATCCGGGCGAGTCAATTACTGTAATTGCTGGTCTCTTTGTGCTGGGCTCTTTGTCAGCACGGGCCGCAGCGTCACGATGCAACTGTAATATAGGTACTCAAGGTATATATTATATACACGGTACCGCACAAATGAGTCGATTAATATGTAGCGTTGGGGGGTGGTGGGGCCGGGCTTGTAGACAAACGACGCCGTGAACAAGGTAAAACGGAGCAGGGCGGCATTTTGTGTGGAAACCCTCACGCGTTAACTTAAGATACGCACGTCCAATGCTTGAGTGAATTAGATGATAAGCGCACTCGTGAGGTTACACGTAATCGTGTTTCAAACGCATGCATTTCAAACAGGAATTTATTATTATGAAATGACGTGTGAGCATTCGAGGAAGTGATG